AGTTACGGCTATTTTACTGGATTTATCATCTGTAACACGGGATTTACCGAAGAAATCAAATGACATATTTCGATCTGAAATTTTGCTCACATGCAGATCTTATCATCCTTATAGTAACCGAAAAGTCTCAGACAAAACGAAAGATTCTTTCTCAAAATATTGAGTTTCCACGAAACGTCAATTTTTTTGACATGTCTGTAGCATAGGAGAATTTTCTTGAAAACTCAACATTTCGGAAAAGAAGCTTTCATTTTATCTAAGACTTTTAGGTTACTATAAGGACCATAAGATCTGTATGTGAGCAAAATTTCAGATGTTTGATTTCTCCGATAAATCCTGTGTCATAGATGGTAAACTCAGTAAAATAACCGTAATTCAACAAGAAATACTTATGCACCCTTATCCTTTTAGGCTTTTTCTATTCTCATCGGGTCCTACAGATGGACACAATATCAGCTCAAAATCTCTGAATCACTTTGGGCGGTTCTCTCGTAAGTTTTTCTTCTTATTTATTTATATAGAGATAAAAATTACTGCTACAAGAAATTTTGATAAATTCATCTTGAGTTCAATTATTATTGTGTTCACCTCAATAGCTAATTAGGACGAAATTGTTTTCTTTATCAAAAAAATCAAGATTAGCATTGCACAAATATATTTATCTCAGTTCCATTACGTACAAATATTGATATTTAATTGGAATAATAACTAAAGTAATAATAGCAGTCATAACCACAACAGTCTCGACAACATCTAGCCTCCAAAAAAGAAGGTGCTATAAGGAACCATTAAGAGTTTTAGCGAAGATTCTGAACTTTTTGAGGTTTCATTCGTTTATCAATAAACCATCAAACGTTTCTAGATAATTTAAAGAACCATGTCAAATAAAAAATAGTTCCAGAGATTTAGAAGAGTTCTATCTCGCATTATTTTTTTTCATAAAGAACTTCTTCTACCGAGATGATTCTAGTGCAAGTCGCTTGAACTAAAATGGATTATTTTTTGAACATGACTTAATTGAAGTAAATCTTAAGTAGCTTCACTTTAACAAAAATATTAATAAAGAGCAGACGAGATGCATCACTTAATTATCAATAGTAACGGTGAACAGCTAGGGATGGTCTTTTAACTTTGCTTTCACTCTTCAAGTTAATGTAGCATGCTTTAACAATTTAACTACAAAACAATCAATATTAAGGTGGTTACGTGACTGAATAATAGAAAATTTGTATACCTGAGAATTTCGTTACGAGACGGATATTTTTCGAAAATAGCGACATTTTATAAAGTTTAATCAAAGGCTTTCGGGGTTGAGGAATTCGGATCGTAACATGATTCTTCATCTTGAAGACTTCCCATGCAACTTTATAAAATATCGTTATTTTTGAGAAATTGTCTTTTCCTAGTGGAATTTTGAAGTTCACAAATTTGGCAAATCCATCAATAGAAGTGCACTCCTCAAACCCCCAACTATGTTTGATCAAACTTTATAGAAAATCATTATTTTCGTAAAACAACCTTCTTGTAACAAAATAATCGGAATTAAGTTGTATTTGTCTCACGCTTATCATTTAACCACTTAATTTCCAGTCAATTCAGTGTTTGTTGAACAACTCAATACTTAATATTAAGTACTAAGTAATAAAACTTAGCTTTATTTTACGTTAAGTTCAATGGTCCACCACTAAGTAAGAGTTTGATATAGAGATAAGGAGTTAAGAATATGAATCAGGGGTTAAGGATAGAAATAAGGGGTTAAAGATAGGAATAAAGAGTCAGACATTGAGTTAGTCAACAGTAGTAGACGAATAGTATTGTATGAACTGCTTTTAGCGGGGTAGAATCATTGTTAGAAAGCGAAAAAAAGAAGTTCCAAATAGAACCATAAAAGATTCTGAAAATGGTATTCAAATCTAGAACCCTTAAAAGCCCAATATGACACCTTTTTGTTTTTAGAGAATACAACATCAACAACTTCGACAACCACCACAACATCAATACCAGGTATGTATTGTTTGCGTTTATTAGAATTGATTCTTATTGGAAGATTAATTTCTTCATAATAATATTCGATATAAAAAAGTCTTTCATCGGTCGCATTATCTTTTTCGTATGCCACTAGCACAAAATATTTAGTAGCATAAGAATGAAAGTCTTTTTATATTTTTCTAGAGGAAAACATATTTTGTGAAAAATTCCATAATATTGTCTAAAGAGAGTTTGTTTGACAAATAAAAAATCTCACTCGACTTATATAAAACATGAAAGAGTTCACAATAAATAGAAGACATCATTTTCATACGCTAGAACCTAATCAGTGCCATCCATGAGTGTAAACCTTTTGGGATTGATGATACATGTTTATCTTTTATCAAGTGAATATAATAAATATTTGCTAATAGGGTGGTCGATTACTGGGAATATGAATTATGGTCGATCTTATCACACAGCATCCATGTTATCCAATGGACAAGTCTTAGTTGCCGGTGGATCTGGAACTGGTAGTGTTAGTTTAAATAGTGCTGAGTTGTATAATCCATCAACAGGAGTGTGGACAATCACTGGAAATATGATTTATACTCGATATCGTCACACAGCATCGGTGTTATCAAATGGGCAGGTCTTAGTTGCCGGCGGGTATGGAAGCGGTTTGTATTTGAATAGTGCTGAGTTGTACAGTCCATCAACAGGAGTATGGACAATCACTGGAAATATGAGTTATCTTCGATGTTGTTACACAGCATCCATCTTATCAAATGGAAAAGTCTTAGTTGGCGGTGGATTTGGAAGTAGCCCGTATTTAAATAGTGCTGAGTTGTATGATCCATCAACAGGAGTATGGACAATCACTGGAAATATCAGTTATGCTCGATATTATCACACAGCATCCATGTTATCAAATGGACAAGTCTTAATTGCTGGTGGATATGGAAATGGTTTGCCGTTAAATAGTGCTGAGTTGTATAATCCATCAACAGGAGTGTGGACGAGTACTGGAAATATGAGTTATACTCGATATCATCACACAGCATCCATGCTATCAAATGGACAAGTCTTAGTTGTCGGTGGATTACAAAGTGGTGTCGTTTATTTGAATAGTGCTGAGTTGTATGATCCATCAACAAGAGTGTGGACAATCACTGGAAATATGAGTTATACTCGATCTTATCACACAGCATCCACGTTAACAAATGGAAAAGTCTTAGCCACTGGTGGACTCATAAGTAACAGTTCAGAGCTATACCAATTATAAGAAACAAATGAATTACAAACACATTTTCTTGTCTTTGATGAATAATCTTGTTTACGAGAACTATTCAACAATGTTATCGTTTTAGTTTACTAATGATTAACTTTTTCTTTTCTAATCTTTATAAACTTATTGTATCTTTAATAAATTTATCTCATAACAATGAAATATTTTACTCTCTTTAAGATTCAGGAACGATTTATTGTTGTAGAAAGTGCAATGGTGGTCCGATCCTTGAAACTTTGGGGAAGAGGGAGGGATGAGGGGTAGCAGAGTTGCAAAAAAATTTGTGTTCTAGGTAATACGTGTTGACAATAGAGATAAGTTTCTAAATGTTTCCCCTGTTTATTTTTTTATGCATAGAATACAGCTCAGTTAATGTTACCATATGAAGAAGATATGTTAGAAAAGATGAGAGACTGACACTCTGATGTATGATGGAAGAGTATGGGTGTGGGTGCCAGTATGGAGGGTGTGGGTGTGGGTGTAGACGTAGATGAAATAAATACATACATCCACACCCACACCCACACCCTAGTCACACCCACCCACACCCACACACCCACACCCACACCCACACCCACACCCACACACCCACACCCACCCTACTCAAAAGCACTGGAATTCTATAAAAAAGCTCTTGAAATCTGGAAAGTATATCTTCCTCCAAATCATCCCAGTTTGGTGACATGCTATAACGGGCTTGGTTCGGTCTACTCCAGCATGGGCCAGTACCCTAAAGCACTTGAATTCTATATAAAATCTCATGAAGTCTTCCGCATATCTCTTCCCCCAAATCATCCAGATTTGGCTATCAGTTACAGCAACATTGGCTCAGTATATTCCGACATGAGAGAGTACTCGAAAGCACTCGAGTATTATCAGAAGTCGCATGAAATCTACCAAATGTCTCAGCCTCCAAATGATTCAGATTTGGCTACCAGTTACAGCAACATTGGCTCAGTATATTTCGACATGGGAGAGTACTCGAAGGCACTCGAATATCACCAAAAATCGTCCGAAATCTTCCAAATGTCTCGCTCTTCAAATCATCCGAAATTGGTTACGAGTCCTAAGAGCATCGGCTCGGTGTATTCTAAGATGGGTAAGCATTCAGAAGCACTTGACTCCTACGACAAAGCACTTCAAATACAGAAAATATTTCTCGCTCCAAACCATCTGGATTTGGCTGTCAGCCACAATCATATCGGTGAATTGTATTCCATAATGGGGGAGTACTCAAAAGCACTTTCATTCCAAGAAAAATCACTTGAAATATGTGAAAAGACATTATCTCCAAATGATCTAATCTTGGGTATCGGTTACAACAACATTGGTGAGGTGTATTACAATATGAAAGATTACAAGAAAGCACTTTCGTTCGTCGAAAGAGCTGAGAAAATATTGCAACTTTCATTGCCTCCTAATGATCCGACTTTGAATATACTCAAAGCAAACCTCACTAATTTACGAAAGAAATTCTAATTAGTTGTGAATGTGTTGAATGAAATAAATCATTCTACAATGCTAATTACTTTTGTGCGCTCCCTCAGATTACTTCGTAACTTGGTTCATGAGGTCTTTTGTGCCTATTTTATGTGA